TATTGTGCATATATATTTATATATCATAGTCATAACTATAGATAAGAATGATAAAGAACTAATTCCAAATAAGTAAGTCATACCTCTATCCAGAGATTTACCATCTTGAAAAAATTCCAGTGTTTACTTTTTGCTTGTTGGATGTGTTTTTCATGATTGAACAAAACCTAGGCAACTACTTGTGACCTAAGCAAGCAGTATAACTTGACAGGCTGCCTTTAAAATTAATTTATAAATCAAAGACTGCATTGGTCTTTTCTTAGATGATTTTCTTGTCCTTAGAAAACAGTAATCTTTGCTGTTGCTACAGCTTCTTATCAGCCACCCATTGAATTTTTTTATTTATATATTTAGTTATATAGTGATGTGGGCATTAAAACTCAGCTTGTAGTTTATGTAGTATCTTTGTAGATTATAAAAAAAAGAAATTGTTTCTTAAAATACTGCCAACCTTTGACAAGTGCTTGGACTTTAACCTACAAACAACTCATCAGTGGATAATGATTTTGGAAATCAGTTTTGATTCCCTTCACTAAAAGTACATTGTCTAATATGGAGCTTATAAAGTCTTCACCTACTTTCCTATTTATTAACTGCACTTCATAAGAAAATGTAATAGCTTTTGAGATTTTAAAAATAATTATATAACGTAGTTTTCCAGTAGTTTGTTTATGTATTAGTCATGGACAATAATCACCAACCTACACTTTGCTCTTCTTGAGTCGCAGGGTACTTAGTTCATGTACCAACCTTTCAGCATAAAAATTGGCAAATGTTGGTCAAATAAACTAATCATCCCTCAACTTATAAAACTAATCAGAAAATAGAATAAGCCATTTCTTTTCGTAAGGTCATGATTTGGTGACCTTGGTGGGGCTTCTCTATAATGTTCATTATTTCAGGCTTTAAATGTCAAATCTATCGCACTGAACAGACTGTTAAGAAATCTTTTCTGTTGTGTTTGTCCAGAGTTTTTCAGTGAATCAACAGATCCTCCGGGGCAGGCGGGAATCGAACTCATGCGAAAGCGGCCTTAGATTCTCAGTGCTGTGCTTTAACCTGCTGCGCCACCAGGGAGGGCCTCAGATTTTTCTTTTTTTAACTGAGAAACTTTATAGAACAGTCCAGGTATTGTGATTTCAGTGTTGAGAATTTCATTAAATGCCTCAGATGAGCCTAATACACCTCTTAATGTCTTTTACCTGCTCTTTCCAATTCATGACTGTGTTTTCCTATTTTTTTCCCCTTTGAGATTAATATATTTTTTTTTATTCTTCTGGCCTTTGGTTTTCACACAGGAAGAAAGAACTGTCTATGAGGGAATCTCTCCTCTGTTAATCCTAGCTTTTATGCTCTCTGTGCGTGTAATGTTACAGGGGTCATTTTGTAATTTATGTTGTTTAGTCTATGCCCTACATAAAAGTAGACAGACCAACAGAAAGATAAATACAATCATTTGTTAGGGTTTCTGTGCCTTCAGCGTGGACCCTTGCTGCATATCTCTGGGTGGACAGAATGGGATGTAACATATACTCTTCTCATATTGTTTTGTATTTCCTGACTTTTTCTCAGAATATTCTCATTCATTTTCATTCTCACTCTCTCTCTCTCTCCCTTGCTCCCTCCCCCCCCCTCTATCTCCTCTCTCTTCTCTCTCTCTCTCTCTCTCTCTCTCTCTCTCTCTCTCCCTCCCTCCCCCCTCTCTTTTCACTCTCTCCTTCTGACCCCCCTCTCCATTCTCTCCCTCCCCACAGCAAGGCTTGGGTGAGATAAGGTGAGCGATTTCTGTATCACCTGGTTGGTAAAATCCTTTTCTTTTTAAGACAGTCTGTTCCTTTTGGCACACTATGTCTTTGGTGTATTTGAGTTCATTTTTCTTTTGTTTTCCATTTTTTTCCTGTTTCTTTATTTAATTTTCTTTAACCATAGTATTATGTGTAGCTGTAAAAAGAATGGCTTTTTCTTATTAGTAGTAAATTTCTTATTAGTAGTAAATTCACCAATTCAGTGTTCTAGGTATAAGTTTTGGGTCCTCATCACATTTAAGTTAATATAACTTGCTTTTCTATTCTTTTTTTTTAAAGATTTATAAGATTTATTTATTTGTGCATACAGAACTGGGTTACAGGCCAGAGGCTCAGGGGCGGTGAGAGGCTTCACCAGAGATAGAGTGGGGAACAGAACAGGCAGATCGATGAAGTACACTGCTGAGGGGAGCAGCAGGCGGGTCAGGAGAGGTCTGCCACGCCATGTGGTCACCTCCGGGGCAGGTGGGAATCCAACTCAAGCGCTGAAGTGGCTTTAGATTCTCAGTGCTGTGCTTTAACCCGCTGCGCCACCAGGGAGGGCCTGCTTTTCTGTTCTTACTAGGAATTTGTAGTTCTAAATATTCAAAAAGTCAAGCTTTGAAAGGCTGAGATTTTAAAAGAAGTATCATCCTGGACTTTTTTCTTTAAATACATGAGGTTATAAAATGTAATGTCACCCAGATATTTTGATTCTGATAGAAAAGTTATTTTGGTTAAAGAAGAAATGATTACATATATGATCATATAAATTAATGTCTAATGGATATAAGTTTATATATAATTTGATTAAGTCAGTGCTTATAAACAAGAGTTGGAGATAAATGGTAATACACTTAAAATAGTTGGCATCTTGGAAGAAATAATAGTTATTTTCAAGGAGATAGCATTAACTGCTTTTTAGATTTTTAAACACATATTTATAAGAGCTGGAAGTCACCTTCAAAGTTATCTAGCCACACACCCACATTTACAGATGCAATGTTAAGACTTGGAGAGGCTGAATATGTCTTAGTGAATGTAAATATTTTGTTATCATTTGTATTAGACCCATGGCCTCTACAGAAGCTTGGTGTTTTTTTTTGTTTTGTTTTGTTTTGTTTTGTTGTTTTTTTTGTCAGAGATCCTAGTATAGTCCTGACCCATGGGGAACATAGGTGTTTCATTGAATTAAATTTAGTGTATTTTTCACTATACATCATGCAATTAAAGGATATATAAAATGACCCCTTATTTTTCTTTTTATTTATGATTTTTATGGGTATGTTATACAACCTTGTAAGAGATATGGAAAAAGATGTAAGAATAAAAATTGTCAGTTTTTCCTTTTTTTAAGACCACACTAACTAGGAACCTATGAAGCATTGAGACAAAGTTGCTTCAGTTGATAATAAAACCACTCTTTATTGTTCTGCAATGGATTCAGATCAGGCATTCCTTTAACACTTTCCTACAAAATTCTCATTTTGTCAGTGAGTTCTGTAACAAAGTAGTAATTAATACTAGAAGTGCTGTAAGAGGTCTTTGAAGGAAAAGATACTCTGGTGAAAGATAACCCTACTGCACTGTAAGTTTCTATCAGTGAATATACTTGTGTAATCCATACTCAAGATGTATGACTTGATCAATATGTACTCTGTACACTAATTTCACCCAGAATATTTTTGAAATTCACCTGTTTTGTTTTTAATTACTTGTATGTATGTGTGTGTGTCTGTGTATGCACACACACATATATACATTTTATTTTTTGGCACAAATTTGATATCTCTCAGTTGTAATCCCCATAAATTATCACCAAGTCTCCTCCCATGGTCAGCCAATATAGTCTCTTGGGAGGGAGGGAGGGGAGACACCCATTTTTTGACATGTATCAGTACTATTCCATTGCATTAATAGATTGGAATTTTTTTTTTAAGATTTAATTATTCATATAGAACTGGGGTACAAGCCAGAGATGCGGAGGATGAGAGGCTTCACCAGAGACAGAGTGGGGAGCAGAACAGGCAGATGGACGAAGTACACTGCTGAGGGTAACAGCGGGCGGGTCAGGAGAGGTCTGCCACGCCATGTGGATCTCCTCCGGGGCAGGCGGGAATTGAACTCATGAGGAAGTGGCTTAAGCTTCTTAGTGCAGTGCTTTAACTCGCTGCGCCACCAGGGAGGGCCCAATAGATTGGAATTTTTTAATCCATTTTCTTACTACTGGAAATCTGAACTGTTAACCAATACTTTTAAAACTACTGCGAATGTTCTTGTATATATCTTTTATGGACTTATCTTTTCACATCTCTTGGAGTGGAATTATTGGTCATTAGGTAGGGGTGTATAATTTCTCTTATTTTGTAAATACATTTTTTACACTATCCTTCATTTTGTACATTTTTTCATCTTAGTTGTAATCCCCGTGGACTTCCCACCACCACTTCACTCATGTGCCATCACCATAGTCCCATGCGCCCTTCCCACCCCATTTTTGATCTTGTTCCTCTCTTCTCCCCCATAGAATGTCTCTGGTTTATAGTTGTTACTTGATGTACTTTTTTACTTTATTACAATTACTATGTGTATAGTATATTGTTGTGTTTTTGTGTCCTTTGTTTAGATTCCTAGGAGTGGAATTGCTGGATCATATGGGAGCTCCATTTTTAGCAGCTTGAGAAACCTCCACATAGCTTTCACAGTGTTTGCACCAGTTTGCATTTCCACCAGCAGTGCAGGAGTTACTTTTTCTCCACACCCTTGCCAACATTTGTTGTTGTTTGGTTTTTTAATATGCAACATCCTCATTGGTGTGAGGGATGTATAATTTCTAGAGAAAATATCAAATCATTTATAACATATTTGTGTCTTTTGACATGTCCTCCAGCAGTATGAGAGTTCAGGGTTTTTTGTATTCTCATGATATGGTTGGTATTATATTTTAATATTGCTTCATTAATATTTGTATTTCATTTTTTGGCCACTTTTCATTTTAATTTGTTTGCAAATTGGCTACTTGTCTTAGCTACATCTTCCTCAAGAAAAAAGAAGAAATGTATTTCACAGTAGCTTTTTGAGATTTGAAACTCAAAGAGTTGACTCTTGTTTACAAATGCTTAATTGAAATATAGGAACTTAAAATTTCTAAATTAAGGGAAAAACTATGGTATTGGTATTATGTGATACAACTTTTTCGGCGTTCATCTTTGACAGAGTTCCCTAATAAGCATTCATAGCCAGTTTTTGGCAACGTTAGAATCACTGAAGCCATTCTGGGATGCTATGGATGAAATTGATGAGAAGACTTGGGTACTTGAGCCAGAAAAACCTACACGGAGTGCCACAGCACGCAGAATTGCATTGGGTAAGAAAAAAAGGAGTAAGGTTATTTTTAAGTATTCTTTCTAGCTTGGTTACATGAGAAATAAATGTAAAAATGACATTGGACTCTTCGATGAGATCTTTTTGTATAAAGTTAACCACTAAAACTTTTTGGGATGAACTCTATAGGTAGTTACAGTAAATATAGGTACTTAAAGTAAATAAAAACACTGAGATGTTTAATTTTAACAGATACTTAAATAAAAAATAAGCACTTAAAGTAAATAAAAACACTGAGGTGTTTAATTGTAACAAGTGATGATTTCACTGGAAATAATATTCAGCAATAATACCTTTGAATTGGCATAAAAACAGTAAAGCAGATTTTTCAAAACTTTTATCAGGGAAAAGCAATGTTAAAAATAATTTTTTCATTCCTGAAGCTAGAAAACATTAGTATAAACATATTTCATCATTCAGCATGAACAACCTGGTTTTTATTTATTCTGTTACCTTTTAGCTCTTTTTTTTTCTTCAGAGACTTCAGACAAATGTACCTTTTTGAGGATCAAGTTTTCAGCAGATTAATTAAAATATTAGTTAATATAACCATTGTTGGGTGAAAGTACTTTCAGAAGTCATTTGTACATCATGTTGATAAAGATTAAAATGGAATTTGTATTATGGTAAAGAGTACATTAACAAGTAAGATTATCCATTAGCTTTTTTTTTTTTTATTTTTGCTTTTTTCATTGGGTAACTTGAAGTCATTTTATTTTCTTGATTATCTCTTGTTGCCAGATCTGCAACAATTAGAAAAGTGTGGGTGGGAGACTGATAGTGTATAGAATTATGAAGATATTTTACTGTAAAAGTGAAATCCAAATTGCCTGTAAAATATACAGTGTTTCTTCACCAGTATAATTTCTGAAATTTGCATTATAGCCCAGAACTGTTAAATTTTTAAAAGAACCCAGTGACAAGTAAAAATAGCTCTTTCTTAGATATTACAAAGTATGTTAGTTAGTTGTTATCAATTTAATAGTTTCTAGTCTATTAAAATAGTTAAATTATAGGAGAAAGCTTCACATGGAACAAAGAATTCAGAAATAATGTTTATACAACTTGAATCTAAAGCACATTAATTTTCATTCTTTTTTATCAGTATAGAACTATTTTAGGAAAGGCGTGAAAATTTAGATCATTACTTAAACTTCTGATCTGTGATACTTGTATATTAAAGTTACCATACCATCAGGTTTTTTAACTGTAACGAATAGTATTCTGGCCAGAACTCTAAGTAAATGGTATTAACTTTTGGATTGTCTTTTTTTTTTTAAACTTGGGTTATCTGATCATGCATTTATCTTTACAAAAACCTATGAAATAGTTGTTTAACTTTGGGTATTCAAAGAAAAAGTACCTAAACTGACACACCTTTATTTTACTTTCTGATGAACTGTTCTACTTCTAAATATTCTTTTTTTTTTTTTAGGGACTAATGTGTCAATAAATATAGAGGTAGATCCCAGGCACCCTACTATGCTTCCTGATTGTTGCTTTCTTGGAGCTGACCATGGTATTATACCTCAGATTTCAGTGTTTTTGACAGAATCATAAAATTCATGGCTATTGCTGTTAAAATATACTAAAGTATTAACATATTAATGGTAATTGTTTTAAATGAAAATGTCTCATTTTATACTTTGTGAGTTTGGCTCTCTGATCAAGTATTTAAGAAACAACTTTATAGCTAGCAATTTATGTTGCATATTTAAAAGCTGTTGAGAGTAGGTACTAGTAGTACTCATAAGAAAATTGTAACTATTTATAGTGATGCATATTAACTTACCATGGTAATCATTTTATAATACATCAAATAGTTATGTAACCTAAACTCACAACATGTTTTAAGTCAATTGAGTCTCAATGAAAAAAAAAAAAATGCGCAAATTAAGCCTTGTTTAAACTGTTAGACTTTTACTAGGTTTAACCTTTTTTTTTTCTTTTAAAGTGGTAAAACCCCTGGGAATTAAGCTAAGCAGAAATATACATTTGTGGTAGGTATCTTTGCAATAAGGTTGTTACTTTTTGATGACTTTACAAGTTTAATAACAGAAAAAATATTTTACATGCTTTCAGGGATCCAGAAAATAGTCTGCTACAAAATTTGAAAGATGTTTTAGAGATTGACTTTCCAGCTCGTGCTGTCCTGGAAAAATCTGTAAGTACACCAGTGCTTTGATAATTCAAACCTACACTACATAATGGAAGTTAAGCGTTATTTTAGGCACCAAAGAAAATAAGGCAGGGAACTGGAAGAATATTATAAGACCTTTAAACTACATGCCACAGTTGTATCAAAGAACTTGTTAACCTTTGATTGGTGGTTATAAGTGTACTTTTTTTCATGGTCTCAGTAGCAGTAAAGAGATTAATGACAACCTTATTACAAATAAGGGTAGGTAGCTAATGAGATGTTTGGATTTTGTATATTATTGGATTGTAGATAACGGAAATAAAATTCTAGTTAGCTTCACATCGTGTTTGTTTTTCAAAATCGGACACTCACTCATGCCTAAAATAATAAACAGCATTGAATTTTGACAAAACTAAAGTGAGGGTGTTTTTACATGTACAAAATTTTAAGATGACTACTGTCAGTTCCTATCTTTACACATTATTTGACATTATACTGATGTATAGTAGTGGAGAACTAACTCTCACCTAAACACCCTGTGAGCCAAAATGGGTGAAAAGGGAAGCACTTTTACAAGCTGTTAAATAGTGAATATGTGACTTAAATAGTGAAGATGTGACTTTCTATAGTATTGTAGTATTCTTTGTAAAGCTATAATTTAATAGTTTGCACCACATTTTTGGGGTCACTTAGGTATCTTTAGTTTACATGCTCAGTTTTTCTTTAAGGATTTTTCTATGGATTGTGGAATTTGTTATGCCTATCAACTTGATGGTGCCGTTCCTGATCAAGTGTGTGATAATCCTCAATGTGGACAGCCTTTCCATCAAATATGTTTATATGAGGTAAAAATAACATTAGCGACTTGTTTTAGCTAACACAACAGAAGAAGTCTGCATGTGAATACAGGGATCCTTAGTCATTAAGGCTTTCACTAGTTCATCACAGATGCTTATTTGTTTCATCATGGTTGCTAATGAATGCAAAAATGTTTTACTGTATCTAGAATATATTCATGGACTGCTTTATTGATGCATAGTAAACTGATGCTACATTGGACTCTTAGGAAACATCTGCTGTAACCACATGCAAACTTTGTAGACTGAAGTGTGAGTGGGATAGCAATAGGTGAAAGGAAACTAGTATATGGAGTATACCTATTACTTTTCAAGCAAGATTTATTGTAATAATTTTATTTTATATTGAGAAGAATGCACTTTGCAATCTGAATCTCTCAATACTTAGTGTTTTGTTTACTGTTTAATACATGTGAAGTCTTTCATTTCTTTAATCATTTGCCTTATACAGCATTCATCTTAGGGCACAGTGAACATAACTGAATGTTCATCTGTCTATAACCCACATTGCCTTTTTTTTAAAAAGATTTTATATATTTATGCATACAGAAATGGGTACAGGCCAGAAGTGCAGATGTGGTGAGAGGACTCACCAAAAACAGATTGAGGAACAGAACAGGCAGATCTACAAAGTACTCTCCTAAGGGGAGCAGCAGGTGAGACAGGAGAGGTCTGCTGCATGATGTCACCTCCAGGTCAGGGATCGAACTCAAACTGAAGCGGCATGCCTTAGCTTAGCTTTGCAGTGCGGAAAATACCATGATTTAGCATAAAGACATTCTTAAGTGAACATATATGCTTTGTAATAATGAAAAATCACTTGAATTTTAAAAATGGACTGCTCATGCTTGTAATGAATTGAGATTTAACTCATGGTTGGTGATTAAAACCTAAATTTTCAAGGCTGTGGTATCTTTGACAGCAGTAGTTCTTAATTCAAAATTAGTGAGTTTAGGGAGTGTCTGTGAACTCCCTGACTTATATGCTTCAGTTTCAGGGGTAGAGAAGGTACATAAATTTCATTAGAGGCCTGTAATTGGTTATAAACCATTGGTATAGACTTCAGATCCATACTGGTTTTCCCCTCCTTAACTCAGCCTTTAGTTTGGTAGTGACTCAGGGAAGACTCTGCTCAGTATTGCATAGGAAAATTCAAAAAGGTAAATCTAATGGAATAAATGTAGATAGAAAATATTTGCAGTATCTAAATTGTAATTGTGTGGCTATAGCTCCTTTTATCTTTTTAAAATTTTCAGTGGTTGAGAGGACTCCTGACTAGCAGACAGAGTTTCAACATCATATTTGGTGAATGCCCATATTGCAGTAAGGTAAGCAAATTACTAACCATACTTCATAAAATGTACTTAGCTTTTAATAATGTGTTGTAGATGAGTATCTAAACAGTGTTAGTAAAACAGTATATATTTCCTTATCTCAAACTTTTAAAACAGGTTTTTCTGTTTCTGTTGTCCTTCTCACAAGCATTTTGTTAATAAACCTAAATGATCTGAAACTTCAGAAAAGTATTTACAAACTATCATGATTCCATTTATTGTTAACAATTTTTTTTTAAACAATGTATTCAAACTTTTAAAAAATTTATTCTCTCTTTACAAGCCAATTACCTTGAAAATGTCTGGAAGGAAACCCTGAAAAGAGAATGTAATACTTCTGTGGAGGAACAGAATCTTTAAAAATCATCAAAAGAATTTTGTTATCCTCAGAGAAAATACAGAGCAAGACATACTAATACCAAAAGAAAAAAAATGATGAAGCCATAAAAGTATACTTCTGCCTTTGTCTCTTCACTAAGAGTAAACTGGGAAATGTTAAGCCAAAATCCTGCAGAACTTTCTAATTCTGTGGCATCCATAGCGGTTGTGGAAGAGTCTAAGTCCCAAGATGGAGGTCTTGACTTGTGGAATTTATGTGGACTGATAAAGTCTTGATAAGGTTCATAAGATGGATTCAGGCATTGTGTACAGCTGGAATTTTGTGTTGCATTTATTGCTTCATTCAAAAATTCTTGAGATGGACAATATTTTTGTCTCTTCCTTGTACTTTCCTATAAGAAAGTATACAGTTTAAGGGTTACTTTTGTATATTCTACAGCATGCTCACTCTAAGTAGAACTTACTGCAATGAAGATACTTCAATCGAAGTTAATGAAGTGCTTAAAATAATCAAATCTATTTTTTAGTAAGTCGGCCATCTCTTAAGTAATCTTTTTAAAGATAAGACTATGAAAACAATTTTATCAGCAAGACAAAAATCTGGCATTACACTCCAGGAATTAAGAGTTACATTTTAGTGATTTTAATCTTTACACAACCTGAAGAAAGTGCTAAAGGGTGGATGTTTTGTATATAGTTAACCGATAAAACCCCCAAATTAGTTTCCTGCTCTCAACTTTCAGTTGAGTTCTGTTTCTTCTTTACTTTGATGACCTGACATGTGCTCTCCTTGTACCATTTATGAAGTAAATTACAAGACAAAATAAACTACCTGAATAACAACTGAATAGTTGAAAATAGCTATTCTGAAAAATTTCTGCCTACTTTTATAAATGTGTTCCTTTCTAACTTGTTTGACAAATACTACAGGTGAGTGTCTGCCAAGTTATCAAGGTGAAGCAGAAGCAATAATGCTAGGTTGTTTCACCTTAAGTTCTTTGCCATAAGCATTTGTGTTGCATAATTAGCTGGCTATAAAACACTTTCGCTTTAAGGTAAAAACTGGTTGACAAAAAAGGCTGAGAAACCCAAAGGTTCAGAGTAGAGCCCATATTTTACAAATAAGTTTGTACTTCTATATATGGCACATGTTGGTAAAGTCATCTACACTACTGTGTTTTACCATGTCACAGTACTAAGTCCAGTGACAAATATGTATTAAGACATTTGGAAGTTGCTAACTCTGAATGAATGAGTAAAACACTTTAAAGTGTTACTTCCCAGACTTGCTTTGTGTATCGAATCGTAACAATTCTGACAAATAACATTTTAAATGTATTAAAATATTTCCTACTTTAACTGAAGTCATGAAAAACGAACATTTTTAATGGCATAATTGTCTTCTATCCAGTGAATAGGCTTTTGCCAAAGAGCTTGCTGTGAATTTATGGGACACACTATGCCTACTCAACCCCAAATCACTTTCAGGATACATAGTATAAGAGAGTCAGACATGAGGTCTACCTAAGATATGTAAAAGGAGAACAATGTCTTGAAAGAAATTGTCTACAAGATGGCAACAGAGTCCATCCTATGTTTTACTCACAAGAGAAACAACTAAAAGACATGATTGAAAATAAGACATGACTGAGACTCCCACTCCTCCACGTCAGACCGCCATGCACTGCAGTAGAAGGAAAGCTGAGGAACTCAGAGAAAGACTGCCAGCCTGCCCCAAAAGCCATAGGGAGGGGAGAAAATCAGCAAGGAAACAACTGATGACTTAAGCACATGAGGAAAACAAATAATATATGATATCATTCAAATGTGGCATATAGAGAAACAGATGAACTAAATAAAACAAAAAATTTGGGCAGTCAGACATGCTAATGGAAAGGAGAAGGGACTAGGTAATCAGATAAGAGGAGAATCTGTATGAAGGATAGAATTGAACTTTGAGTGCTGTGCTTAAATGTAGCAGAGAGATGTTGTTATTTAGTGATGTACACTTGAAACTTTAATGTTTAATATCAAGTTACTTTATATATATGTGTGTGTGTGTGTGCAGTTTAAAAGTGAATTCACTGGCAAGCAATATATATATATCTTTTGTAAAGAAAAACACACACCATCAATTTATTCTTGAGACTGAGAGAACCACTGCTAAGCTAACTTAAGCACCATTTACTTATAATTTTGTATAAATTATGTGTGGAAATGGATGACATCCCCATTTAGGTATGAATAGAAGTCAAATTAATAAAAGTCTTTTCTTTTAAAGCTCTATTGATGCATACATAAACTGGGGTGTGGGCCAGAGGTGCAGGAGGGTGAGAAGATTCACCAGAGTGGGGAACAGAACAGTTCCCCATTTCAGATCTTCTGAAATACACTGCTGAGGGCAGCAGTGGGTGAGACAGGAGCGGTCTGCTTGCCACCATTCTCTCTTCAGGCAGTGACAAATAGTAAAAATGGTGAGGCATTCATCAAAGGATTTAACTATCAGTTGTCTTTACTTGGACTTTGATTGGAAGAAAACTCATCCCAAGGTAACACTGCTAACAAACCATGCATTGGGAGCATTAGCTAACCTTGAATGCACTTTAGAATCAATTAGAAAGTGATGAGAAACAGTAATACCCCTATTTGTTAGGTTTTCAGAAGTCATGATGCTTTTTGCTTGAAAAATATGTCATGACCTTTCTGACAACCCAGTAGTTCTGGTCATGAGAAAGACTTCATTCCTATAGTTTAAAGTCCCTGAAGTAAATACAAAGCAAAAAAGTTGAAAAATATACATAACTGCTAATCAGGCACAGAAAGCAAGACTGATTCTTGAGAGGAAACTAGGCCGCAGAAAGGCCACACTTTAAACTATTTACCTTATTTAGCTCAGTCCCAGAAAGTATAAACAAATCAGGATATGATCAAGTTGAAATACTAATAAATGAACTGCTACCCAAACAAAACTGAATGCTTTTAAAGTGAGTGCAGTATTCATGTGTGCTTTAATGACATTTTGGCCATGGATGAACTTCATACAGATATTCACCCCAAAGGGGTACAGAGTCTAAGTGTGTATTCTGCTGTCCCATCTAGGTTTATATGCTTGGGCTCTGATATTCACACAAACATGTATTTCTCAGTACATACCCCTGTAGTTAAGCCATGCATGACTGATATCCAGAATCTCAAGACCCTAATATCGAATGTTCAGATACAGTCAAACTCTTGTTATTACATACAAGGAAGAGCAAAATCTGAACAGTACCTAAGAGGGAAAGAAAAAGAAGCAGAGATATGACCTAGCTGGTAGCATTATCAAATAAAGGTGAAATATCTGTTTAAAGACTTAGAGAAAATATATGTAATTTGTGAACAGGTGAGGGACTATCAGCAGAGAAAAATTCAATGCATTTCTAGAAATGAAATATACAAGGTAAAATTCACAGGCCAGGATTAACAGCTAATGTGAGTATCAACTATAGGCCAGATCAAAGAAAACATCCAGGATGAAGTAATGCAAAATCAGAGCCTGATTTGAATAATGAACAGAGTATCAGTTATCTGTAAAGAAAGCTAAAGCATCCTTACAGGATTGTTTGTATTTGGAGTTCAGTAGTAATAAAGATCAGGGCATGAAAGAAAACATTACATCATACCTGAAGCTTTTCAATTTAATGACTACCTACAGGTAAGAGAAGCTCAATGAAACTAAATCATATTAAAGCCCAAAGATTAAAATGAAGTTTTTAAGAGCAAATAGAAAGGTGATCAATACATCATATAGAGAGTCAGCAGCAATAATAACCACTGACTTAAAAAAACCCATACACACAAGAAGACATGGAGACAACTTTGAAGTTGAAAAAGAAAGATTTCATACCCAGTGAAGCCTTCAAAGTGAAGATGGGGAGGGCGGATCCAGTTCCTGACAACAGAGCAAGTGCATTCTACCTGTTTCTGCCTATTAATAGAAATTGAAGAAACTGGCACTATCAGAATTGTTTGAAAGTACAGTTTGTAGAAGGCAGACTGGACAGGCATTTAAGGACATATGGAGTGACTTAGAGACAAGTCAACCCCATACCCTCATGTTTTTGGTGCTTCTTATGTACCTCAGCATGGGTCACAGAAAAGTTTACAATCTGTAAACATGTACAGATAAAAACAGGTCCAAGAAAAGAGTGCTGTCTCTATACCAGAGGACAAGGGACAAGCAGTTCGGCAGGGTAAACCTTTTCATACCTACTCGAGGTGGACAACATGAAAACAGCTCACCAATTCCCTCCCCTCCCAAACTTCCCATCAGGTGCTATGTAAACAGTTTCAAGTGTCACCAGCCGGAACTAAAAAGCAGAACACACACCTGTCCTGCCCCTGCACACTAACATGGATGTTATGAGACAGGCTTGTCAACCATTCCTAACTTGCACCACTTAGGTGGCATTCCTGCTGCTGCCTGACCAGATACTATGGCGAATGTAGGCCAGAATTAGGCTAATCTTCCCTGCATTAATCCAGAAGAAGCAGTGCCTCTTTCCCTCCCACCAGCCACTTTAGTGACTGCCCAGTAAGCTCTATATAATCATTAAGCCGAAATCCAACAACTCCCTACTTCCCTGTGGCCTCCAGCACCGTGGGGGAGATCACCACTTATCATCTCTGCTATGTATTATGTAAATGAGGGCAAAGAGGCAACATCCACATCTTCCTAGCCAGATCCTGTCCACACAGATTAAATATCAGAGAGAAAAATCAGCAAAGATAAAAAAGAAAACCAATGGAAGTTGATATAGAGTACTCCTAAACAAGAGAAAAATGGCTCTTTTCAATTGTAATTAGAACATTCACTAGAACAGACTATACCTTGGTTCATAGAACAAACCTTAAAAAAATTGAAAACAAAATTATACAAAGTATGTTCTCAGACAATAGTATAAATTAGAAATCAATGACAAAGGTAATAGAAAACTCTTCAAATACCTGGGAACCAAGCAATGCACTCCTAACAAGGCATGAAAAGAAATCTCAGGGAAGGTACAACGTAATTTGAACTAAACAAAATTTTAAAAAGATGTGTGGGGCCCTCCCTGGTAGCACAGCAGGTTAAAGCACAGCACTAAGTAGCTAAAGCCACTTCAGTATGAGTTAGATCCCCCGCTCCGGAGGTGACCCACATGGCGTGGCAGACCTCTCCTGACCCACCCGCTGCTCCCCTCAGCAGTGTACTTCGTCTGTCAGCCTGTTCTGCTCCCCACTCTGTCTCTGGTGAAGCCTCTCACCACCCCTGCACCTCTGACCTGTACCCCAGTTCTGTATGTATAAGTAAATAAAACTTAAAAAAAATTAAATCTTTAAAAAAAAAAGGTGTGGGATACAGTTAAACTAG